GACGGCAATGATGTTGCAAGATATGTCGTGTCAACGCAAGATGATGGCGATCAGGCCTGCACCTTCCGATCTTTCATCATTGGATCCGGTAAGGCTCTCTCACGACTTGAGTCTACACATGACGATACAAGATTGTATGGACTAACGCCAAAAAGGCCTCACTGCTCTCGCAGCCTGTATCAACCAGATGTGCGTCCAATATCAGACTCATCAATCGGCCCATTCTGACAGATACTGACCGGCTCTTTTCAGCTACTTCTACAAGCCCGTCGATGTTTCTTTCGCTTCGGTGTGAGTCTTTCATGCAAACGGTATACTCCCAAGTGTTGTGATCTTGATCTAACTGTTTGGGTTAACAGCTTCTTGTGTCTGATGGCATATGTGCTCGGCGTAGCATGGTCCATTGCTCTGCCTCGCCGACACCACGTTGAGAAATTCCTACCGTCTCAGGCGAGATGGCTCGGCCCAGTTGTTCACTTCATCAACCCTGGCCATTTCGGATTAAAGGAGCACGCGGTGGCTTCAATCCTTTCCACGTCTAGCGGAAACGGTGCTGCCATCGTGCAAGTATTCGGTGCAGAGCGACTGTGAGTAAAGTGCAATAGACGCTGATTCTTCCAGGGCTGACAGATGGTAGATTCTATGACCGAAGCACCGATGCGGCCACAGCTATTCTGACTGTCTTCTCAGCTTCTATCTTCGGATACGGTCTTGTCGGACTCTTGCGCTCGATTCTTGTTCATCGTGAGTCTTTGGTCACACCCGATAATTGGCCAATCATGCAATACTAACACAGACTAGCCAGTGAGATGGTCTGGTGGCAATGCCTCCCAATGATTTCTATCTACCAGACACTTCACCGCGATCCCAAGGGTAACAATCGAGAACGCCTACGCATGTTCGGATTCACTTCCATCGGCATGTTCATCTGGGAACCGATCGCATCGTACATCTGGCCTTGGTTGAACGGCATCTCCATCCCCTGCCTTGCATCGATGAATGCTGCCCCTCCAACGCGCAAAGTCCTGATGACCATCTTCGGCGGCATTTCTTCCAACGAGGGACAGGGCATTCTCAATTTCTCTCTCGACTGGCAGTACATCACTTCCCGCTACATGTCTCTTCCGCTTCTGCAGCAAGCCAACTCCTGGGTGGGGATCGTCTTGTCATGCATCATGTGCTTTTCGCTCTATTACGGCGGCGCATGGGGCGCCAAGAAGTTTCCGTTCATGTCGACAGCCATGTTTGACGCGAAAACTGGCAAGGTATACAACCAGACTGCCGTCTTTGGCCAGAACGCCATCCTGGATACCGAGGCACTTGAAGTACACGGCCTCCCGCGACTCACTGCGTCGAACGTCTGGGCAAACATGGCGGCGATGGCTGCCATTGGAGCCTTGATCACTCACATCTCACTTTTCTACGGCCCTCTGTGAGTTTGCTGGCCCCAGATCTTATCTCCGTTAACTAACTTCTCAAGTATCAAGAGATCTTTGATACAAGCTTGGAAGAAGACCGAAACAGACCCTCACTACAAGGTTATGCAGGAGAACTACAAGGATGTGCCCATGTGGTGGTATCTTGCGATCCTTCTTGTTGGCTTCTTCACTGGACTTGGGGCCGTCATCAAAGGACACACAACTCTGGATGCCTGGGCTTATGTCTGCGCAATTGTAAGCCTCCCCAACGAGAAATACTAATGCTCTTGCTGACTATCCAGCTTCTTGGATGCATTGTTGCACCCTTCTCGCTTTGCTTGTATGGCCTTTTGGGTACTAGCGTGGCGACAAACAACTTATCCAAGATGCTATGCGGCGTCTTGCAACCGGGTAAACCAGTTGCAAACCTCTATTTCTCCATGTTTAGCCACGAAGTCACGGTTCTTTCTGTGTTTCTGTCTACCGACCTTAAGATGGCACAGTATCTCAAGATTCCTTGGAGGACCATGTTCCTCCTCCAGACGTGGGGAAGCCTGTTCGGAACGGCTTTGAACTACGTCATCATGGATACGATTGTCGCCAACCGGCGAGAGATTCTCTTAGACCCGATCGGCAACCAAGTTGTGAGTTCTTCTCTACGTCGATCTTAATCGGATTGCTGACCCATAATCAGTGGAGTGGACGCAAGATCCAGTCTCTCAACACGACTGCCGTAACCTGGTCTCTCGCAAAGTACGTCTATGGCTTCAACAAGGACGGATACGGTTGGTCAGTACTCCCGACAATAATTGTTTGATATGAAATGAGTCTTACCATTCGCAGGATTCCTCTCTCCATCGTGATCGGCGCTGCGATTCCTGTCGCTCTATGGCTTGTCTCGCGCAAGTACAAGACGATTTATGGCTGGGAGGTCCGGAAGCTCGTCACCCCTGTCGTATTTCACAACGCCTCAGAGACGACATCCGGCACGACCTCAGTCATCTGGTCCCAGGTCGCCACCGGACTATGGTCACAGTGGTACATGCGTCTCCGACACCCTGCGTGGTTCGGCAAGTACAATTACATTGTCGGCGGTGGCCTTGATGCGGGTGCAAAGGTGATGATGTTCATCCTTACCTTCGCGGTAGCTGGAGGTTCTGGAAAAGAAGTCCCTTTTCCGACGGCATGCTCTCATCACTTACTTCAACTTTGAATAATTCTGACGAGGCATTAGTGGTGGGGTAACCCTGACAGTTCATCAAAGCAGTATGCTGATTACTGCGGCACTGGTTGATTATCCTTATCCTGTGGTCTACTTTCAGGGCCGGCATTTTGTCAGTTCCATCTGAAGTTGACTGCTTTTGGAAGCGCAAAACGCACAGAATCTGCCTGCCAAGAGACCATGTGGCGTCGATCGAGGCACTTCAACGTTTCAATGAAATAGCTACATTACATATTGTTGTTTGTTTCATCCCTCCTTGGATGCGATTCCTTAACGGACACAGAGTGCCCTGTTCATAAAAATTATAATCCAATCATATCAAGCAAACATTAGTTACCCCGGGACTTGACTGCAGCCTGCTCGCAAACATCAAGGCAGCTTTGCAATGCAAGGGAGCTAGCAACACGAGGGAGCTGTCAGACAAGCACAGGGACACCAGGATATTTCACCGAGGGCATCCAAACACTGCCGAAGTCGACGAATGGCTCTCGCCGATCCATTACGATTACGCGCCACCCGACGTGCACTTCGAGATTCTCAACTTGTGTTCTAAGGTATGGATGCTGACATACGAGAGAAGAGCTGTAGCCCGAGAAAGTTCAATGATACACGACTTCGGGTTTGTGTACGGGCGTGAGCCGGAATAGTCGATGTCTCAATGTACTCCGAACATACATTGTTCAGTATAACAATGGAAAGAGCATTGTCCCACTTACAGAAACGAGGTTCTCGCACCGACCCTCTCAAAAATCGCAACCCCGCAAACGTAAAGTCAGACGATATGTAAACGACAGTTGCCTGAAGTAATCAAATTTTGCATCATGATGAAATTTAACGAGCCCGAATGTTCATATTGACACTATCTCTCCTTGTCGTTCACAAGTTGGATCATAATTAGCGCCGCTCCTCTCCTCCTGTGTCTAGATGGTATAGAAGGGTCTCCTGAAGCTGCCTGTTTCTCTCGGAGATCCTCCAAGACGCCCCGAGCTCCCGAATTCTCGTCAGACTACAAACACTACAGCATGGAACTAATTGCAAACTTGATTATCATCCTCATCGCTATTCGACAAGCGCTTGCAGCCGGAGGCTTCAACGACGGCTGTTCCGAGGTTCGGTACTGGGATCCAGACAGCATCTACGGCCGAAAGAAACAGGCGTCACCATACATCGTTGCTAGATGCATGGATTCTGGCAAGAAAGAACGCTGCAGCTGGTTGCCCTTGACTGTCTGCTTTTCCAATGACGATGGTGTGTTCGGCTACAGAAAGAAGTGAGTGGCCCCGTTGACTTTTCCCTTCGTGCCAACGCACTGTCGAAGCACCTTTCTGGAGTTGATATTGGAATCCGGGCTAACAATCTCTCAAACGCAGTGGAAACTTTGCAAAGACATGTCATGATTGCCAGTATGATAAGAAGACAACCGACTTCTTCTGTCTATGTCCAGAAAAGCCCGAGGGGCAGTTTTCCTTTCCTCGGGTACTACTGAGTATGTGCTACTTTACATGTCACCTGAGCTACCTATTCAAGACGGAATACGCTGACGTGTAAGTTCTCAGATGATTATGTACGGAATGAGAACGGTCTAATTTGGTGCCACAATGTGTATGGTTTTGAGGTTAAATGCAACGACTTTGAATTCATGAAGTTGCGATTTGAAAGTTTGTAGGCGGTCCCACTGATCCCTGGGTTTGATCCAGGACCCATGCAGAACAGCTTCAAGAATTATCGAATGCAAATCATTTTGCGCGAAATGATTTTATAATCGTGTTTGAAGCGGCGTCGGAGGGCACGCAGCATCGGAAGGTTTCCCTTCTGCCGGAGTCGATACTAACTCTACCCTAGCCCTCCTTGCGCCTCCCCAATTCAAATTCAATGTTCCGTAATTGTGCGTCGCAAAACCAGAAGACCTCCGCGCGCAAATGTGAGCACAAAATTCAACGCCAAGCATATCAGACCGGCGGGCATAGCGGACGATTGCTCATTTTTCAGCCATGTGGATGCAACTCCGTCGCTCGTACCACCCTGATTTCAACGGACTTTGCCATGCAGTGCTGTTTGCGTCCTTACAATGGGTTGCTCACGTATTCTGTCATGTTTGTCTTTTGCGCGCTGTCACAGCTGAGCTTTGGCCATAAAGCCCATAGTATGCCTTTGTTGATGGATGAGTTTGTTCAACAAACCCCGAGCCAACCCTGCCCTTAAGAAAACTGCTCCTCGAGAAACACAGACCTCTATTTCAACCGTCAATGGCGCCCTTGGCCTGCATACTCTGAAGTACAAAAGCCGCCTCCAAATCCAACTCAGCTCTCTCCCTCTCCAGGCCTCGTCATCACGCACTGCCAGCATCCCGCTTAGCCACCATGAAGCTCTCCATCCTTTCTCCCGTCCTCCTCGCAGCCGGAGCCCTCGCCGCCCTCAAAGACCATTGCCAATTCATCCGCCACATCCACACTGGTAACAGCGAACACCCGACAATCGAGTACAACTGCCCGTCTCCGAACCCCGTCGCGTGGCCGTACAGGGCTTGCTGGTACGTCGACCTCGGAAAATGCTTCATCAACGACATGGGCCAAATCCGCGCCCAGAAGGAGTAAGTCCTTTTTTCTATCTGCTGCCTGTTCTTTCCCATGACCGCTCACTAACGTAACCTTTCGTGCTACAGCGGCGCGTTCAGCAGAAGCTGCAGGGATTGCACATTCGACTCGTCCACCGAGATAATGCGATGTCAGTGCGACATTGGAACGTTTGGAACGTGGAGGTACTCCGAGGTCAACATCAGTAAGCAACCGCACTTCTTCCGTGGACTTTCTTTTCGTTTCACTGGGCCTTGTTTTCGTAGACGGTCAGCCTATTGACGCAAGCTGTAGATTCGGCACTTGAATATGTTTCCACCGAAGGTGTGGGTTGCTATGGGGAATTCTCTCAGACTGGCTGTCAAGTTTCTTGAATTGGCCATTCATCACTGCCCGAGCTACCGCGGGAACCATAAATCAGATCTCTGTGGCTGTTAGTCTTTGAAAGCAGTAGGTGGCAAGAAACGGAAATAATGGGCATTGGATTATTGGAGTAGATACTACGACTACTTGTTCGTCAACCAGGTAGAAATATTCCAAGCGCGTTTTAAAACATAGCTACAGTCTTGCATACTGATATGTCAAACCGTGGAAAGTTAGGGTCAGGCACTCAGCAATTTTTCACCGGACGCGAGGAAATCTCACTTGGCCTATAATCGAACGAAGGCAGCCGTTCGCGGACCTGCCAACTTTCTGGAAAATCGGAAATTATCAATTACGCATGATACCCCGGAATTCCGTGTGGTAAGTAGCACAAGAAATTCGCAGACTTGTTCATCTTGAACAGAAGAGTAATCGCTGGAGCTATCGCATAATCCGAGATAGAGATCGTTGTATCCAGCACCGTCGGGCCGGATACAAGCAATATTCACCAAAGTCCATTATATGCAACAAACGGTCCTTCTGCCCCACCAAGCACAGCTACAAAAAATTTCACTCGCAACAAACTTTCCTCGTTGTTTTCCTCCCACACACAAACCGGTCTTTACCATTCGACAGACCAGCCTGCAACGGCATGACACTACGAGGACCGAATCTTCCCGCACCCCAAACCATGTAGCTGCGTTCTCGCACGCATGACAATGGGCGCAATTCACCTCTACCTCGTCCGCCACGGCGAGTCCGTCGACAACGTCGCGAACCTCTAGTACGCGCGCCTCGCTGCTGCCGCCTGAATTTGGCTGGGTTTTCCCTTCCCTCGTCCTCTTTCTAACGTGCGTGGCATTGGTGTTGGTGCAGTGCAGGCTCTCGCGACGCGTCCTTGACCTCCCACGGCGTCCTGCAAGCCAGGCGCCTGGGCACACACCTCGCCTCGCGCACAGCCTCGGCGCCCGTCTCGCACATCTTCGCTTCGAATTTGCAGCGTGCGTATCGCACCGCCGAGGCTGTCCGCGACGCCCTCTCCTCGCCCCCGAACGCGACTGAAGGTGAAGCTTCGTCGTCGATGACAGGCAGGAGGGTGGAAGTCGTCCAGCTACCCGAGCTTCGCGAGAAGCACTTCGGGTCCGGCGAGGGGCAGAAGGTCGGCGCCCGCGCTGTTGGTGAAAGACACGTTGGCGCCGAGACCTCTGAGGCGATGTTTACGAGGGCGAAGAGATTTGCGGACGAGTACCTCGGCCCCATTTTCGCCTGCGTCAACGAAACCGAGGAGGGTGCGGAGAGCGTCGTGGTCGTCGCGCACGGGATCATCCTTGGCGTGCTCGTACGGGCTCTCCGTTCTGCAAAGAACTTCGGGACCGTCGTCGCCTCACCTGAGGACCAGTTGCCTTTGGCCTGGAGCAACACTGGCTACGTCGAACTTACCGTTACGCCCGCTGCACCACCGTCCAAGGAGCCAGCGACCGTACCCACTTGGCCTGGCCTGTCTATCAAGACAGTCGCCGTCAACTCCACGGAGCATCTCCAAGGTCTGAAGAAGACCCGAGGTGGAATCGGCAGCGCCAAGTTTGACGAGAAGCAGAAGACGCTCAACGCGTTCTTCACGCCGACCGCCAAGAAGCGCAAACACGGAGACGAAGCATGATGCCTCTCTCCGACCTGGTCGCCGAGTCTGTTCAATGCAGAGCGACTCGGCGGCCTACTTGCTACCCAGGTATGTTCAAATTTTTCAATTCTTACTACTCCATACCACCCCGCTTGTTGTGATGAGGCAAGAAAATTCACAGACCTGTACCGAAAGTATACATGTGGAAAAACATTCGTCCAACCGCTGTCTGACACAAGCTATCAAATCACATTCGTTTTGATGAACTTCACTTTGGACGGGCCTTGACTAACATGGCTCAGAATACAGATATTCACAGTACACCTGCAGCTCCTGGAATAATAGAACGGGATTGTCTAGTCTAGTTGCGTCCGCATAATATAATAAGCTTCAAATCAAACCCATTGTGCCTTCAATGTGATGCTAGTCATCTTTAATCCATACGTGTGATCGTAACGTCGTTCAAAAGTGGCCTGAGAATCGTACAGTTCGTAACGCGGTGCTGCCAGTCCTAATAATACGCCTACACATCCGTACTCCACTCATCCTTCCCGGTAAAGACCTTGTGCACCCTCTTGCTGACAGACTTGCCCACAGCTCTGTCAGAGAAACCGCCGTCCTTGTTCGTACTCTTCCTGATGTTCTCAAGAACCAGCGGCCCGCCCTCCTCCAATCCCTTCACAAGCTTCGGCACCGTCTCAAACATAGTGGCGATGCCCCATGCGATGGGAGCCGTGACGCGCACAATCTCCTGCAGCATCCGCACGTATGTGTCCTTGATATCTTCTCCCGTGCGGACCTGGCCTGTTTCCATGCAGAAGCCCGCTCCAGCAGCGTTGGCTGCCTCGCGCTGCTTGCGGTAGGGTACGGTTGAGATGTGCTGGGTGAAGATAGCAACCCACTGCGCAGTCTCGACGGCCGCACTCGTGTGGTGGATGAGCACATTATGCATCACCTGCAGCTCCAGCAAGGCGTCTTCGATCGTATCCTCGTCAATGTACTCCTGCGGTTGCTGGTTCTTACGGCGCCGCGATTGGGCACTCGTCGAGGATTCGGCTGGCTCTCCGTTGCGCACGGCAGAGGCAAATTGTCGATTGCGAACGTTGCGGTTCTTGCGCATCCATGGCGTCAGTCCCTCGATCAGGTAAATCAGCTGCTGCGTCGGGAAATGGCGCTTCATCCTCAACACGTGAGCTTCGAGGTTGTTGCCTTCGGGGCCAAGTGCGTATGTGACGAACTCCGACGCGTTCACAATGACCAATGCGAACTTGTCGTCTTCAACGTGCATCGGCATTGGCTCCCAGTGTCCCAGCTCTTCGTTAAAGCGGCTGGCTACCTTTCTTCTCCACTTGACAACGTTATCCACGGGGCTGTACCAGGCCTCATGCTGGACGTCGAGATCCTTGAGTAGCGTCTGGATCTGGAGAGTAACAGCAGCAGGCAGGCTTGACGGGAGATCCGCAATCATCTCCGGGGTTGAGACCTTCTTGTCGGTCCTGATTTTGTTGACCTCTGCTAGCACAGCGGCGCGCTCCTTCTCCTTGGCCTTCTGCTCCTTTGCAGCCTCCTTCTCTTGCTTCTTGCGTTCCTTCTCCCGCTCCCGCTCTGCTGCCTTTACTTCCTTGTCCCTTGCCCGATCATTCGCTGACTTCTTGGTTGTAGCCCGAGCAGTAATTGACTTGCTTTTCGTCGACGAGGCCTTGTAACTGGTCTTCTTCGTCTCAACTCGATCCTTCAGCCTCCTAGCATCGAAGTCATCGAGATCTGGGAAGTCATCGTCCGAGTCGGGGTTGACGTTCCTTGGTGCCGGCTCGTCATCGCTCAAGTCAATAATCTCGCTGACAGACTTGGTAAATGTTCTTCGTGGCGGTGGCGAAGAGAATGGGTCGCTAGGCAAATGTCGTTCCGGCGCGGAGCTGGATATTGGGTCCCAGTTGGCCCTTCTCTTTGGCGATTCCGCCCTCTGCTTTCCTTTGTCCAATGACTTGTTTGTAGGTTTTGGAGATCGCGGGTTCACGATCGAAGCTGCTGACCGTTGCGGCTGCTTTGCAAAAGTACCGTCATCGTCGTCATCGTCGTCGTCGTCTAATAGGATCGTGTCTGGCTCGGCGGGGGGTTTCCGTGGTGGCCGAGGTGAGCTTGCGAAGGGGTCATCGGAAGTAAGATCGTAGTCTACGTAGTCTATACGGTCTTTCCGTGGTGATGGAGCCTTGGTTGCAGCTCCGTTCGAACTCTGCTGTCTTGGTGCTGGCTGCGCCGAAGGAGGTGACGAAGCGAATGGATCATCGGACTCGATTGTCTTAGAGATCTTTGCCGTTGCTGCATTGCTCGTCGTGGTGCGCGGGAATCCGGGCGAGCTGGAGAAATCGATCGGATCATCCAACGTGTGGGCTCGCCGGAAAGCGCCAGATTGCTTTACAGGCGGTCGGCTGGGCTGATCGGTAGCAGAATGCGACCTGTCAAACGTGCGACCGGCGCCGCCTCCAGTGGGCGAAAGACGCAATCTCTTGGTATCTCTAGTATCAGAGTCTGGAACCTTGTTAAGGGGCAGGCTACTGTCGAGATCGATCGTCGTGTCGAAGTCGTCTGACATGTAATAAACCGGCGCACAATTGTCAAGTTGCTCTTCCCGTGGCCGCTTCGCACCGGATACGCTTCTAGGGGAGTAGATGGATTTCGGTTGCTCGGGTCGGGCAGCAGGCTTCGCTGCTGATTCTGGAATCAACTCTGGTGAGTCTGCCGTCAAATTGAACACATCATCGTCGTAGTCAAGCGCAGTTGCCACAGTCGCTACTGCTTGTTGTGCTGGTGGAGGGTGTTGAGGTGCAGGTTGGATTGGCGACGGCCCTAGAGAGGGACTAGACAACAGGTTGATGACCTCCGCAGGCATGTTGCTGTTGGAGATTCATAAGGCCTCAATCGGTCATAGGAGGCGCAAAAACCAAGAAAGTCCACAATGCGCCCGATTGACGTTGCGCCGCACTGCGATGACGACCAAAAATCACAATCGCGTCTGGATCTCGCTCCTCGAGGTGGGGCACGCGCGGCACCGCTCAGAGCCGGGCAGTCTGAGCGCGAACCAACCACGACCGTCACGTGCTCTTCCTTGCCCATGACTAAGCGACACATATGCACTTAAACGGCTGATGTTGTGTTGCATGTATCCGAACTCCTTTTTCTTGGTCCGGAGCAACGTCGATACTTCTCCCAACGTTCCATCGCGCGTTATCGGAATACAAGGCGTTGCTCCCGCATCCAGGACCTAAGCGATGTCGTATTTGCATGTAAGCTTAACATTTTATAACCAGGATTCGAGGGTCCTCAAAATCGACAGATGCAATGGGGGCTCGAGCGCCAGATGCAACCGCACACCCGTCCATTGAAGTTGACAATCCAACATGAACCACCGGCCTGTGTCAAGCTACCACCCGGCAAGCACAGACTACCGCTGGGGAAGATGACGACTGAGGGTAGCAGTCCGTGGCGAACATCATGCCATCACGGTCCATCAGACGTCGAAAAGCGCGCAGGTCCCCGCTGGTGATTCCTGTCAAGGGGCCCAACCGTCGACTGATTACCACAACGGACAAGGGCCACCTTTTTTGACAGTCGGCAGATCGACTGCCCCACGGATATCGGAACTGAAAGTTCTTGGCATTTGATTCTAACATCGATCAACGGCACACCCACGTCTGGTATAGAGGAAGATTGATCGACTTAACTTGATGCGATCGATGCTTTATCTCTCGGGGTGTGTCCGACAGCTGGTGTTCCCTTTGTCGTTAGCGCCGGCGTGGGTATAGGTTGGCCGAAGTTATCGTCTAAATCCCTTCATGGAATCAGAACAAGGCTTCTTCAATGAGAAGCCACGCGAAACCGAGCTTTTGGGGAGGAACTTGTCCGCACTAATTACTAGCCAAAGTACAACAGTCTCTTCTAGCTACAAGTCCTGAACATGACGAAGCTCAACAACAACGAACTTCAGAACGTTGTTGCGCCGGAACAAATATCCTCCAGAATGCGAGTCAACTCCTCCCACACCTTCTTCTGCGCTATTTCTCCATCGTGGTTCCTCACAAAAGGTGATAAAGCCTCATTATCAATTTCCCCGTCTCTCATGTAGGCTCCGTGGCTGGCGATCCCCGCTGACGCGGCTGCAACAAGTGTCCGACTGCCTACCTCAGTAGACCGAGCCAGTACGAACTTTAACACAGCCGTTATCCGCCCGTCCTCACGCGTCAGCTCTGAATGACACCTCCCAGGTTGCTGCATATTGACCACAGCGCCTGAGCCGTCCAATCTCGCTGCCAGCTCACGAGACACCAGGATTTTCAGAAGCTTCGTGGCTGGGTATCGCATGTTCATGTCGGCTTTCGTCTCGTCATCCAGACTTTTGAAAGTATTTTCCGTTTTCCATTCCGGTAAGTCGGTCCAGGCGTGGACTTCGCTGGTGTAAGGGGCTGGCCCCTAGGCTTGTTCAACGTAGAGGTGCCGTCGATTGACTATTCTCAGCTGAAGAAGGAAGAAAGGACTTTACAAGAGTAGGCACCTAACAGCGGTGAAGCAGACCGGGTTAGGCGGTGTAACGCGGCAGAGTAGTGGGTCCAACGGAGCCGGATCTCGGTAATTGCTCCGGCAAAGCCGGAGATATCAATCCGGGCTCTAGCCCGTGACAGCTGGCCACCACAGATAAGTGAGGCGTGGCATCAGAACAAGTTTCTGCTGTTCTCTTCAGAACGGGTACCAACAGCAACGCCAGTAGAAAGTTGCTGATCACATTGACGGTAATGCTGCGTTCATGTCCCTCTGCTGCAGTGAAGCGCGTGGTTGCAATGCCCGCATTTGCCATCAATACATCCACGCGGGGAAGCTGCGAGGCTCGTGTTGAAAATTCCCGTACTGAATCGTACGAGGCCAGATCTACCTCCCATACCTCGCATATTCCCTGGCAACCTGTTGACTGTTCGGTCGTTTCCTTGGCTTTGTGTCGAGCCTCCACGTTCCTAACGGCGAGAATCACGCGGGCGGCATTGAGGCGGACGAAGTGTCGAGCCGCTTCGTATCCGAGGCCAACATTGGAGCCTGTCACGATTATGACTTGGTCTGTAAAGAGGTCCGTTGGATATTTCGGTTCGACAAAGAGCTGAGACTAGAGAAAGCCCATTTTGCCGTGTCTTAGAACTAAAAGTTTATCAACTTCCGGCGACAGTGTCTAGATGTATTGAAGTATTCAAGTACGCCGGCAAATAATATGTCGAAGCTAAAGACCCGGTTTCCAGCTCCAGAAAGGGTCCAGACCAGACATTTCAGCAAATGCCTGGAATTAGCCGCCTTTAAGCCCGCCTACCTCCATGAAGCCAATCCATGTTGCATTTTCATCCATCAACTTATCATTCTTCTACCTACTCAGAGCAATGAACATGAGAAAATAACAATAATAAGAGCTTTCATTGTCTATTATTCTACGGTAATCAGCCAATTTTGATCCGATTGATATGCGTTCGTTGTTACCTTGTCGGACATATGATCGCTTGGGGCCTTGGCCGCACTGCACCAGACATTAACTCGTTCGGTTTGCGGCAATGAGCCACCAACTGCGCAACATCCGCAGTGGCTCCACAATACGTCGGTGGAACTTTGGTTGTTTGTATAGCAAAATGGTATAGCTAGATGAATCCTTTCTATGGCGAAAGCCACGAGTCTAGAACCTGACCCTAGACGCTATTTGAGACGCAGACGGTAAGTTAAGCTTGCGCAAGATATCGATGTCTGTGATATAATAGCAAGCGTTTCCTATTAAGCGACGAATTCCCATTACGTACTACACAGCAAGGTGCACGCGAAAATGCAGCCTTACGAATGCTTGTTATAGCCCGCCTGCCTTAGAATTCGGGTTCCGAATTGATCCCGCACGGGATCTAATCGCACTGGGGCCGAGTCGGTGTGCTCCAGAGTCGCAGCACCCTGTCATGACTCCTACATACGCCCGTAGGGCGAGTCATGGATAAGCTGATGCAGTTTGAGCCTGACCAGAAATATTGCTCTTTAATATAGTCTGTAACTTTATCAGACGAACTCTACAGAGCCAAGCTAGGTCATGTGCTGGGCGTAATCCCATTTATGCTCTTCTAACACACATGTAGTGATGAACACTAGCTGAACAGCAACCAGGAACCCAGACAACGGCCAGTGTCGTCCTCCATACCGATGAGGCAGGCGACAGGCTAGCCCTCCCGCCTTGAGCCTTCAGATCCCCCATACTCTTTGGCAGCAAGCTGTCTTTAACCCCAGTTCCGTACTGCTGGGTCTTCCGGAAAACACGGAAAATATTCACTCATGCACGGACGGCGAATGATGCTTAAAATATTAATCGTGGCTGTGTGCCTAGCTTCAGACGGGGTGACAGATTGATTGACAATGGATTGACTGACTCGTCAGCGATGCTGTGGCCATCTTTGGTATCCGTCTCTAAAATTTGGATAGACGATAGTAATAAGACCTGTCCATTACCTATATAAACGAATTCTAATCACTGATCGAACATGCAACCTGCTGGGACTATTCGCCTTCTTAACCCTACCGTTCATTCCATACATTACCGGCATCTTAACATCACCTTCATTTTTCAACTTCACGATGCAGTTCTCACTCATTCTTCTCTCTGCGGCCTCCGTCGCCTTCGCGCTGCCTCAGCCTGTGCCTCAATCATGCGATGAGACTTGCCCCAACCCATGCCGACAGGCCAACACAAACACATACTGCACTGGAAAGAAGGTCTCAGAACTTAACAACACGCCACCACCTGCCCAGTTCAAGAACCAATGGAACTGCCCCGCCGGTAGCAGCTCCCCTCCTGCGACCTACATCCAGATGACGCAGAACGGAGCTGCTGAGGGCGGGGTCACTGTCTTCTGCACCATCTAAACGAAAACCGGGCCTCAGTTCAGCATTGCAAGCCATGACAAACGACGCGTCACAGAATTGTGGCCTGCGTCGTACGTGAATCCAACGACAACGCCTCACTCAATCAAGGCGGAGGTGGATTTGGGCAACCGACCGCTCTCTAGATCATTGTTCTAGACTGTACTTATTTTGTAACCATATATCTTTGGTAGACAATCAAAGTTTTGATACCCAGCTACCACTGATTGGACTGTATCCTGACTTCCGGCCATGAGAAAAGCTGTACGTGACAATCACTCTCGATTTCCCCTTAATGCACTCGGTAGGCAGGCTTGTATGTCGAAAGTAAATACAGTCTAGCTCAAAGACACGCTTCTCAGACTCTAGAGTAAGTCCAGAGCAGGTGTCAGCACCTGAACTCGGTCGCTACCGCATTCTTTCGCCCAAATGCGGTCTCCGGGTATCACCGCGCCAACTGGGCGGTATGTCGATTGGCGACGCCTGGTCAAGCTTCATGGTCAGCATGAACAAGGAGCAGGCCTTTGAACTTCTGGACGCTTTCGTCGCTGCGGGCGGGAACTTCATCGATACGGCCAACGATTACCAAAACGAGCAGTCCGAGGCCTGTTTGGGCGAGTGGATGAAGCCGAGGGGTAACAGAGACCAGCTCGTCATCGCAACCAAGTTCACCTCCGAGTACAGATCTCATGCTCTCGGAAAGGGAAAGACGCCCAATTATTTCGGAAACCACCGCCGTAGTCTGTATATGAGCGTACACGATTCCTTGGCCAAATTGCAGACCGACTGGATCGATATCTTGTACCTTCACTGGTGGGACTACACGACATCGATAGAAGAGGTCATGGACAGCATGCATGCGCTTGTCGACCAGGGCAAAGTCCTCTACTTAGGAATTTCTGATACCCCGGCGTGGATCGTGGGCGCGGCAAACACCTACGCTAGCCTGCAGGGCAAGACTCCCTTCTGTATCTACCAAGGCCGGTGGAACGCCATGAACCGCGACTTTGAGCGCGAGATCATCCCGATGGCCCGCCACTTTGGCATGGCCCTGGCTCCCTGGGATGTTCTCGGCGCGGGCAAATTCCAGAGCAAAAAGGAGCTCGATGAACGCAAGAAGCGGGGCGAGAGCCTGCGCAGCCTCTTCAGCGGCGACATGACGGAGAACCAGACCGCCGAGGAGGTGCGCATGAGCGAGGTTCTGGCCGAGGTGGCCGCAGAACACGGCATCGAGTTCGTCACAGCGATTGCACTCGCGTACGTGTTGAGCAGAACGCCAAACGTCTTCCCGCTCGTGGGTGGGAGGAAGGTGAAATACTTGGAGGATAACATACAGGCGCTGAAGATCAGGCTGACGGAGGACCAAGTGCGCCGGTTGGAGGCTGTGAGGCCGTTTGATCCCGGGTTTCCGAGCAACTTCATTGGGGAGGACCCGAAGGTTTCGGGTCAGCCCAGCGCTCTGCTATCTCGAGCTGGGCCTTTGGCGTTTGTGCAAAGCTCGAGAGCTATTGGATACGAGGGATGATTTGATGGAGGTTTCGATGAGCCTCCGAGCTGCTTACCAGTATGGATTGAGGAAACGTCACATAAATTGTTGAAACACTCGAGGTCAGCCTGCAGGACAGCGTTTGTAGGCATGGAACCAATACTACTCCAAACCACAAATAAGCGCTAATTTAGAACCGAGTCATAAACAAGACCCACGACAAGGTTACGATGCAGGTTGCTAACTCTGTGCCATGCAGGGGTTCGTCTGGTCTCGGGGTGTTGTCATCACACAACTTAAACTTCTTCGTCACCGGGCTAGACTCAAAGCAAAACGCACACCGATCTGTATCTAAACTATGATCGATAGAAGCCAATCAGTCTCTAACATAAACGGCAAGCATCGTTGCCTACCATGGCATACAGTCAGTCGTGCCGACCCTGACCTGTGAAATAACGTCTTTTTTAAAGCAGAAACACCATCTGATTGGGGGGCTACTGTTTGCTGTCCTCCTCGCCTTGGTCTCTACGATTCCAAGGCAAAGAGTCCCTCCAAGTGTCGATCATGTTCCACTCCCAGTAAAGCTCAGTACCTCCGGCGACCGCTGCTTGCTCTCTTAGTTCGTCAGGGGCGCAGACGTACAGTTCCCATCTTGCCATTTCCTCGGCAATCCTGTTGTATCCTTTTGTCCAGGCGTATCCACATTGACCACCTCCATCATCGAACCAGAAGTTGCCGTCCAAGTACCCCGGTAAATCCCTTGATCGTTCTTGGCAGCGAGGACTCAACTGAATTTGCGGAAAGCTCGAACCCTTGGTCTCGGGCAATGTCAGATCAACGCCGCAATCCATTGCATGGCGTTGTAGGCTCCTATCCGAGATATGAGGTTGCAACTCCAAGTAAGTCCCGGTGTATTGTCCCGCAATGGCAGCCATGATAACCTGCATTTTGGCGTTCGGCCGTCGGATAAGAAGTTCCCTCAAGGTGTTTTCTTCGGGAATCTTTGGATGCCAAATCAGATCCGCCACGTCTTCCTTGTCCACTGCGTCAGCTCCAACTCGAGAAAGGTCATTGTCCATGATAAACCTCGCCGTAATAGCTCTTTGGATCTTTCTCCCATAACATCCCATCCTACCCATCTCCTCTTCGTGGACCGCCCACCACTTTGCAAATGTTGTACTATGCTGGATCCCCCTCACCACCGCCAAAGACTCCCTCTTCTCCGCAGGAACAGGCCTCCGCAGCCTCACGTAGCGATCCACATTCCCTTCCCAAGCGGCCATCAGAATCAACACATCCTTCCTCGCCGTTGGCAAATCCACTGGCAAGGGCTCATACAGCAACCACGCAAACTCTCGAGGCAGCCTCGCCATGTCGGGATCAACCCCGACACCCTCCCCGGTAATGTCAAACCACATCAGCCCCTGACTCCAATCCGCCGGCGTCAACTTCTCCACATCCGCAAACAACCCCGATCTCAACGCCGTGTCCCCGTTCAATCCCACCCTGATCCTTCTCTCTGGGTTCTCGAGATTGACCGTGCAGGTGTAGTCGTCCATGACAGCATACCTCACAGGCTGCTCGACAATGGCTCTGAATATCGCATCCGCACCCGCGACATCAACGTCGGGCGCCCCCGAGTCCCGCGCATCCCGCGCCTCTTCGGCGATGGATATGTCCGGGAGGAGGTTGAGCTCGAAGTAGAGCTTGGCGTAGCCGGCCGCGGCGCAGGCCCGGCCGACGTTGTACCGCATCTCGGGGTAGCGCCGGGCCAGGCGCCGGTAGGTGTCCTCGCTGCCGAGGTAGTACCAGATGCAGTACGGCTTCGGGTGGGAGTCGTGCATTTCCGGGACGATGTTGTTGGATATTTGTGAGGCGAGTGCTTGGTTGGTGTACACCGGATCTTCTTCAAAATCCAGATCGTCTGTCCAGAGAATGAGGTCTTGATCTACGTTGGAGGACGCAGAGGAGGACGAGGAAGAAATAGAAGTACCCCATTTACCCATTGTGTGTGAAAATAAAAATGCGAAGCTTACTGCGACCACAGTAGCATTGACTGCCGAGTTTAGAGTTGGGTTGGTGAAGATGAAAGAAAGAATAGTTAAGCATCAAGTGGGAGCCGAATGATGTGATGTCTGCCATGTTTTATGCATGTTAAATTTGGCCTCACCCGCGGACTTGATGTCCCATCTGGGCTAGAGTGCGGCTCATGCCGGTCCACATCTGCCGCAAGAGATCATAATAGCAGCCCGGAGCCGGGTCACGGCCGTCCAGTGCCTTCCCGTCCTTTGCAGACTTTCTCCTCGCCCGTTCTTGAACTCCACGTCTTCGGCAGTGTGGAGCAACCGATGACACGCCGTTGACCGGAAGGGACCCGCCCCCGGATTTCCAACGCCGACCGCATCCCCTCAACGCAATTGTCGATAGATTTTTCATCTCTTTTGGATTTACTGATGACACAGATGGGTATGCGTGCCGTGCATACGTTTGGAATCTTGCTATAGAGTATATGAGAAGAAATAGGGAACAGCACAAAAGCCGACCGCATCTTCCGACGTCCTGAATCCGAATCTTCGCTTCTGTCTGTCTCAGCTGCTTATACATGTCTTTGACAACGAGCAGCGGCGTTTAAACGAGGCGCCCATGACCACTTTCTGACCAGCTCGGAGAAACAGTCCCGAACTCGTCCGCACTCTAACATGATTTAGGACTTTGATGTCGGCTACTAGTTCCAGTCAGCAGCAGGTGACGACTTGAGCAACCTCAAGATTAGGTTAGCTGCCTGACCTCATCACATCACTCCGTCCCAATCGCGACCCAACATATCCTATCGCTCGCTGCCTCCGCACGAGAGAGCACCTCGACCAACCAACATCATCCCAGCTTCCAATCCCTCTGTGCTTGAGCCCCATTGGCTCCCGAGCAAAGACCAACGAACTCTGCCCTGCGTGCTGGGAAGATGGACCACAACTCTACCGCCTTGGGGTAAGCTGGCGAGTCATTGACCAGCACCGCACCGAGGCTGTTTCTCTATTCGTAAGAATTGGCACATCAATTGCTGAAGTAAGAGGTATGAACACGACGCTGCTCTCCAATAGTGTTTCAACAAACTGAGTCTTGCAAACCGTAAATTCCGACTAATGCCTTACCGGGAACTAAATGTCATGAACCAACCTTGCACGCTCTGGGGCCCTGGTCAGGGACAGATGGGCAGGAAATATCATCCTCTGGGGCCTTATAGGATGGAACGGGTCACCCCGTGGGATCCATTCTGCCCAACGTCCCCCCCCTCTCTCTCTCTTACCAGCGCCGGCCGTCTGTGAAAGCTTGCTCCCGTATCCCACCCGATGGGCTGTTCACGAAGCCGAAGCCCAAGATTCCTTGGCTTACATATCCATCACGACGGCATCATATACATGAGCCACAGGTCATCCCTCCAGAGGGGGTGAGCGGGAACAAGAAACCAAACGACAGAAACCAGCCGAAAAGAAACATCACGTCCGAACACCTCGCCTAGAGCCCCATCCCACCGGAGCCACCCGCATCGCAAACCCACACCCCCGATCACCATACCACCCGCCCGCAACCTTCGCGGGGCCGCCGCCGCCGCCGCTCCGCCCGGAGGGAGCAACAATGGCAGAAAACATCAAAGGCTCCATCGACCTCTCCCGCGAAGAGGCCATGGCCATCACCGCCCTCGCGACCGCGGGCATCTACAACGCCGTCGAGATCTACGTCCTCATCTTCGCCACCTTCCGCCAGCGCCGCGGCCGCTACTTCTGGTCCATGCTCGTCGCCAACTCCGGCATCTTCGTGCACGCCATCGTCTCCCTGATCCGCTACCTCCGCCGCAGCGGCACCGTCGTCCCCGGCGCCTTCGCCGTCGCCGCCTGGTGCGCCATGGTCACCGGCCAGTCCGTCGTGCTGTGGTCGCGCCTGCACCTCGTGGTCTACAACCGCACCTGGACGCGCCTCGTGCTGGCGCTCATCGTGACGGACGGGTGCGCGATACACGTGCCGATGGCGGTGCTGTGGGTGCTCTGCTGGGCGACGCCGCGGGACGCGCAGGCGGCGTGGATCGAGCGGTACGGGGTGTACGAGAAGGTGTCCATCGTGGTGTTCACGCTGCAGGAGACGTTCCTGACGGGTATCTTTGCGCGGCAGGGGTGGTATAACCTGCGGCCGCTGTTCGCGTTCAAGACGCGCTCGGCGAGGTTGATATCGTGGTACCTGCTGAGCCTGTTCGTGCTGGTGTTCCTGCTGGATGTTGGGCTAGTGGTACTGGAGTACACGAACAACTTTGTGTTCCAGACGACGAGCAAGCCGTTGGTGTACAGCATCAAGCTCAAGGTTGAGTTCACGGTGCTGAATAAGTTGTTGGCGTTTACGAAGATGAATTCGTGCGATTGTCACCACCTGAGCGACCAGCTTGGGAGTTTCACGAAGGGGCTTGTGACGTCGGATACGAATACTACGGCGAAGGGGAGGGAGGGGCAGAATGGGATGTTGCCCGCACCGGAATCGGAACGACCTGACCGTATATTTGACGGTAATTGAGCATCGAGAAGAGGGACTGTTGTATTTCATGGAACGGACGGCCACTTGCCTTTGAGCAGACACGAGTTGATACCCATAGAAGAAGCATGAGCATGCTGTAATGAAAGCGAAATTGTTAGAGATGAGAGCATTTCATGGATAGAATCACTGTCACGATTTCAGAACACAACCACGATGTGTTGAAACAAGTTCGTTATCGGTTCCCATGACCGAGGTTGACGCATGATGAGAGTCAGAGTAATTGAACGCTTGGGAAGTTCCGAATTGGAATCACTGCGGACTAGGAAGCGACAGGCAATAAGGTTGAGCAATGTCATTGAACTGCAGTTTTGCACCATGCGGTGATAGCAGAGCAAACACCGATCAGGGCATACCCTTGGGCGTCAGTGAACGAGCTTCCAAAGGACCGGAAGACGAAAATCAGGGTAATTTCTCATATTCCTGGCGGACTTGCGGGGTAAAATGGCCCAAGCCGTCGCAGA